CCATTATTCTGTTCTTTTTTACTTTTTTTCTGACAGTTCCTTGTGAAGGGGAAGTTCAACACAATGCCAACAAAGTTGATTCTGCATCCCTCTTCCCACAGTATCCAGTCAAAGAATGAGAGGAGTGTGACGTGAAGAGCAACAGATCACCCTCACCTGGCTCCAGGGCCATGATGGGAGATCTTAGACTGCCAACAAGTTGTGAAAACTCAGTCTGATAGCTCTCTGAACCATAAAAAATACTTCAAAAAAAAAAAAAGAAGTATTATTTCCAATATAGTCTCTGTAGGCAAATATGAGCAAAAGCAGTTTAATTTGACTTCGATTTGTATTTGTGGACTCTAATATTCCTCAACAGGACGTGTGGGAGAATTTAAAGGAGTTAGTTTTGTAGAATGTGTAGACAGATTGGAAGTAAAATAATTTGCTGAAAATTTGACCAGATTGAAAAAAAAAAAAAAAAAAAAAGTATGCATATTATCTTACAACTTTGATTCAAAGCTCAAATGTCCCGAGCAGCAGCAACTGACTGGAGAGACCCCTATTCTCTGTGGTTACAATACGTGCACAGCAGTCACAGGGACTCAGGCTTCCCTCGGGACAAGCTTTGCTCCAACTGGTCTTTTTTATGTTTTCTGTAAGTGTAAACAACCTAAAAATAATGAACCTCCCAGACTCAAAGATAATTTAAACAATATATCTTTTAATGTGGGAGAAATCAGTCTTCGTAAAGAAACCGGATTTGAAAACATTCCTATTTGGGGATTATTGATTCCAACATATACATATTCTATTTCCACTGAACACAAATAATCCCATGATATAAAAATAGGCAACTAAATGAAATGCAGACTTTTATAACGTGGGAACTGTTTGTTGAACTAGCATTCTGGTTTTGATTACTTTTAGACATTTTAGAAGAAACTGATTCAAAGCAGTGTTTTTCAGAATAAAACTGAAAGATATATAGGCTGACCTACTGGAAATGTATAATGTTAAGTGAAACAATTCTCCAGGGACCTAGCTCCAATTAAAAATTCAACAAAATATTTAAACACGTATATAGTAAGTAGCATACTTGAAGTTAAGTTCACCCTTAAAAACTCTGAATGGTAAATAGCAATGGAAAATAACGTAAGAGTCCCTTAAAATTTAGTGTAAACTGGGAAAAGCACAGCAGAACAAAGCAGACCACCACACCTTGTTACTGAATTGTCATGCAGAGTCCCTGTGGGAAGCTGACAACACGTAACACTTCGTGAGCTTAGAAGAGCGTGTGTATAACTGAAGTTACACATAAAATTCAGTATTGTGCTTTTGCCAAGAAAGGTTGGACCACATGAGGACCCTGCCAACCTGGGATTCTATGACTGTGATAAAATAAGCAACTCCAAATGGGATTCGGAAGCTAAACATTCCACATCCAGCAACTTTTTACGGTAAGAATCAAAGAGATTTTCAGCAATAGCCTTTGATATTACTCCATAATCATTATGGACTACAACTTACTTTAGTATAAGAAAGGGGTTTAAAACAAAGACTGAGGTAACAAAAATCAATATACTTAAAATACATGCTTCAAACAAGCCTGTCATTGGCAGTCATCGTGGTTAATCTCATGCTGACATCTAATGGCAGCCTCCTACACTGCTCTCCACTGCTCTCAGTGTTTCCTACTGAAGAATCACATATTGCTAAACATATGGTAAATAAATATACTGACTGTAGGCTATTTCCCTTCTGAGAGATAACAGAAAACTGAAGCTACTGCCCGCAGAAGAAACAGAACAGGTGTTTCCAAGGGTGATACACCTCACACAAATGCTCTTTCTAACTGCCTGCCAGACACATCAGCATTCAAAGAAAGATTAAACACATGCAGGCTTTCCTACAGAGTAATACTTGAGGAGTTATTGTTGACAGGTACTTCCATATTTGAAATCAAACTGACTTATGTAAATGATAAAGGCAAAATCCAATGAATTTTTTCTCTTCACAAAGCCTAGAGATTAGTAAATCAATTTTCAAGTCCACTGTTGTCTTCTAGCCAGACAAAAATCAAACTCTTTAATTCCTTTATTCACTGAACCAAAAATTAGAATGAGAAGACATTCAGATATTATTTAGTAAGGTTACATTTTTCATCTCTCTCTTTTCATACTTAGTCTTTTAGTATTTCATGAGCCTTCACAATCTGTAGAAGGAATCTGATCTAACTCAGATCCAGAGGCCTCTCACTGGTGTGTGGTAAAGGACTTCTGAGCTACTACAGCTACCCGTTATTAACCCTGATGCTTTACTTAACTTCAGTATTTAAGGAAAACTAAAATTGTATTAAACATGACAACATTACTCAGTTCACACAGCTGAAAGGAAAGGAGAGGGGACTTACCCACGCTGGTTAACTCTATAGAAATTACCTGTGCGAAACACACAACAGAAAACAGTAGATGGCAGCAATAACCCACTGAAGAATCACTGCCCACCACCGCCCTGGGGTTTTTCCAACTTGACTGGCAAACGCCCAAATACAGTAAAATAAATGGAATGAAGGCCCATCTAAAATTAGATAGAAGGCTGTCTTCTCTTTGAGCAAAATGCCAACATAAATGTGTACACAGGAGCACAACAGGAGTTGTGGAGATACTGCAGCTTTAGATGAAGTAATGCTGCCAGCTTTGTGAAGGATAAAGGTCTTTAATTGCATAGTTTTCACTTTAATGACAAGGCAAGTGAATAGGTGCTTCCTGTTCTTTGCTGAAATAAGGTAGACCCATGTGGTACATTTTTTAATGCTCAACTCATATTAATTTTAAAAGCACTTACCTTATTATTTGCACCAGCTTAGACTTTTCTAGTGCCAAATCTGCTATGCGTGACAAGGGTTTGTCACAGCTTATCTACTCTGTTTCCACAGGGGCTGTTCCTCCCATTTCAAGCACATCCTTCCTTCCCTCTTAATCAGTGCTGAGACACTAAGCAGTCTATTTGCCAGAAGACCCTAAGGTCAGAAAAAACAAAGATGAAACTGCAGACACTCTCAACATCCTTATAATATTATGTGTGTCAATACCACGTATTCTACCATGTTACATTCTATTGTAAATGTATTCTGGTCAAAACTGCCCCAGGTGTGCTCGGACCTGTCTGCATGATGGCATTCCCTGCTTGGAGAAGATTACGCATCCGCTGACTTTGTGCGTTGTTATCCCTACAAGCTGCTCCCACAGACAGTTAAACGCGATGCTGCTTTCATACATAATCAACTCCACTGTTTGACCTCTTCCCTTAAAGGATACCTCCATATCTTTGTTATGTTTATGGGAACTGCATTATAAGACTCTTTTTCTCCTGTTTCTTAGATGCTTATTCTAAATGCATTGCTTTTGTTTTAAGGAGGAAGACAAGAAAATGTGGCTCGGCTCTGCTGTTAACTACTTGCCATCTGATAGACTATAAGATTTTTTTTAATGACAAATTTTAACCACATTGTTACACGACACAGGAAGGACCTCTACAGTATGAGGAACAGCATAGAAAAAGTTCAAATTGACAATCATCAAAATTTTTAAGCTGATGACTTTCCAATTATTTATATAGAAGAAATATTGTCTATGTTGCCTTAGATACTAACAGTGAAAAGACCATATCCCACAAGACACTTAGTAATTCATTTTCTAAGTAACAAGGCAAAGAACCAGGTGATATTGCTGTCCTTGGATCTGGTCTCTTTGGATGAGGACTGAACTGTTTTCACACAATGAGGCACCAGGTCACAGAATCCCATTAATTCTAATTTAATTATATCATATTTATTAATCATGGTCAAATATTGTATGGCGTTGCAAGCTGCTGCACGATATTTGAGAGCTGTATGGAGATGACAACTTCAGCCTACATAAAAATGTTCAGTTTCTTCTTTAGACAGCTCAAAGGTTCTCTCTTCCTTTTACACATTTCACTTTACACATTTTAAATGTACACAGCAGTTTTGGACAATTTAGCATTTTCTTCTGTCTTTCCTATGGATATTTTGCATGGCAGGGGAATGGAAAGAGACATGATGAATTTTAGAGAAGCAGCTCAGTCAAATCACCTTCAACATGAGCTGGCAACCGCACTGCTCATGGTTCAACATTTTAGCAGGTCAGTAAAACTGCTGCTGCTGGAACCACTTCCATCCATAGTGGTTTCTCCACTGCACCTACTCAATGGATAAAGAAAGACATGGCCTACAAAGTTGTTTAGATTAATTGTGCAAGAATACAGGTGAACTCCCACAAAATTGTAGACAATGGAACAAAGCAAAAATATTTTAGAATTACTAATATTGAAACAGCAGGTGTCAGCTGTCACACAAGCATGTAAGTAAAGATAAAGGACAGAAGGGAATTTTAATGGATCATAAGCACTCAGGGATCTTGAGACAGATTTAGTCTTTAGTCTCATACGCTGCTAATCTGGATCAGTCTGAAATCAGCTAGCAAAAGTGTGGCAGCAGGAGTTCATCCAGCAACAGAAAGACCGTTCAGGTATCTCACTCTCGCTGGGAGAAAGTGTTGGTCCTTCACTTGATGCAGTTCGTCCCACTTGGAGACTTCAAGAAACAGGAGCACATTTCAGCATTCGGCACTCAGGCAGAGATTCTTCTCAGTCATGCTGCCTAACCAAAAACTTTGCTCCTCTGGTACATAAAGCAAAATTCAAGCTACCTCCAAGGAGGAGTCTAACCACAGAACAATATCAACTGTTTAAATAAATATCTCTATTCTAGTAGTAGTAGTATTCTAGTAGTCTAATACCGTTTTTCATCCACAGGCTGCTATGTGTTTTACAAAGAAGCCATCAATCCCACACTATCAGTACAGCAATGCCACACGATGAGCTTGCACATCCCTCTACCTGCCCATTAACTACCAACTTTTATGACCAATAGAAGTTAATGATTAGCCATGAATCACCAATAGTTCTCCTAATCCAGCCTAATCCAGAACTCAACCATGGAACTTTTTCCAAAGGTGACAATCTTTATGACACCAGGTAGGTACTGACTCTATGTGTAATTACGTGTTTGTACGCACACCTTGTTTCTGTGGGAGGAACCTTGTTGAAAAGCAGCAGAGATCACAACTTCGAGGTCTTCAGAAAGGGATGAAAACTCTGAACTCGCCATCATCGTCCTGCAACGGGTCAGGAAAAAAAAATCAGTAATACCTGAAACCTGAGTTGAATTTTTGAAAAGCAGTGGGTTTTTTTCTTCACGATTGTTTTATTTCTCTTCCCATTTTGGACACTTCAGTCTGATCGCAGGGAGAAATACGGCGTGCATTCGCGCTTTTCTCCTCAGGTGGAGTGGGTGAAAGGTAAATTTTACTCGTTTTAAAGCTGCTCCTTATTCATTCTTTTATGTGAGACCGTACCTCACCCATTAAAAGCCACCAACTTCATTCTGCACGTTGAAGTACACACGAAGCCAGGGCGCAGCTCCAACTTTCCTTGCGGGTCCCCAACCCCCTGACCGAGGCTTCTCCTCGCCCTCTCCCCGCTCCGGCGGCCCATTTGCCCTCACTAAGGCCGCTTCCCGCGGCCAGCCGCCGCCCGAGCCCCGCGG